ATTTTCAGAATTGAATGATTTAATGTCAGTTATAATAAAAATTGTGAATTTTATAGCTGCTAGACCCCTTCACAAACGAGAATTTTCTGCACTTTTACAGGAAGTTGATTCATCCTACAGTAGACTACTGATGTTCAATAATGTGAGATGGCTGAGTCGAGGTAAAGTACTTGAGTGATTTGTGGAGTGCTTTGAAGAAATTAAAGTATTTATTAAGAATAAGGATCTGGCAAACTTTCCTCAGATCAATGATCATAAGTGGGTCAGCAATTTAATGTTTTTTACAGATCTCTTCGTTCATATGAATGAACTGAACTTAAAATTACAAGGTTTTGGCAAAAGTATTGATGTTATGTTTGGATACATCAAATCTTTTGAAAGTAAACTTAAAATTTTTAAGCAAGATATTGTTAGTGAAACTTATAAGTATTTTCTTCGAATAAAAAAATATTTTGAAAAGGCCAATAAAACGAGTGTAATGGAGTCCATACTTATGTACCAGAATATAGTAAACTCGTTAAATTAATTGAAGAGTTCAGCGAAAGATTCAACCAATTTAGGAGCCTAGAACAGACCATTAATATAATTAAGTATCCAGTTGTAGTTGTTTACAGTTCTTTGGAATTAAAAGATTTCCAATGGATGCAAATTAATAATTTAGAGATGCAACTTACAGATTTTCAAAATAGAATTTGGACTTGTGTGTTTCTCGACTTAAGATTGAAACTTGAAAATCTGGAACGAAATCGTTTGAATAATGAAGAAGAGTGCAACTACAAACAAGAAATTTTGAGTGCATGGAACAGAATACCTGACACTTTTAGTAATATAAAAGATCTAGCAATGGCTTTGCTAACCATCTTTTCATGAACATATTTTTGTGAGACTTTGTTCTCAGCATTAAATAATATTAAAAAGAACAAAACAAACCGGCTAACAGATGAAGTTAGTGGCACTTGCTTAGCCTTGAAATGCACCAAGTATAAACCAAACCTGCAATCGAAGAATTAGCAGACAAACTCCAGTACCAAAAAAGTCACCAATTTCTAGTTTTTGTACCATTTATTTATCATTATTATTATTTTTTTCCTAAGTGTGTATTGTTTTTTGTTTTTGTTTATTTTATACATAATATTTAGTTGATTTTTCTTTGTTAAATTGCATTTAAATATATAAAATAAATATCAAAGGTACGTCGACGACGTATTTATTATTTGGAATAATAAACCCAGACATACGCCAATTTATTAGAGATATAAACAGCAATAATTATGGCCTGGAATTAGAACTAGAGTAGCAAAATCAAAAAAGAATACATTTCTTAGATATAGAGGTCGAAGTAGATGAAGAAGGGGTAATCAATACGAAAGTATATAGAAAGCCGACGTAC